CTAGACTGCCGCGTGCCAACCCACCTACTCTCTAATCAGATCCGTCTCATTAAATGTACTCTCCTCCCCGTATCGTCACCCTTCTCCATCCCTTGATCGCTCTCTTTACCTTTCTATAATAAACACCTGACTMSCAGTGATCCCGCCTTTATCCTCGCCGTATCCCGTCGTCTCCGACTTCTCTGTTCATTGTCTCTACCCGCCTCCTCTTTTATCCACCCTAGACGTCCAGGTTCGATCAAACCAGTACTGCGCTCTGGATCTTTTCTCTTTTCTCATCGTTCTCAACAAGTCTTTTTCTATCGCTGGATCTCCTGCTCAGTCGTACCGTCCGTGTTGTGATTCCCTCATCCCTTTACTCTCCCATTCCCGCTCGTGTTGTCCACGTTCATTTCTGTGCTTCTTTTCTCTTCCTCATTCCCCACCTCCCKCCCTCACCTCTCACCGTCTCACCTCTTTGTGTATCTGGTCCCTGTCTTACCTCTGTATCTCCGATATGTGCACTCCCGYGTGAACTCTCGCTCACGCTATCTCCTTTACTCAGCCGAGTCACCTTCGTATGCCTTACCTGTTTCACTGACCAGCGATATAGGCGCAGAAATTCTCGTCACAGCTTTATATGGTAATTATCTCCGGTTTGTACTACAATTTAAGTAATATACAGTCTACTGYGTTCGGCACAATTYGCAAAATCCAAACGCAAAATCCACGCGCATATAGATTTACCAAAAACCCACTCAGATCCTCCCGCCCAAAAACCATTCACATTTCGTTTTTGCTTCGTTAGTATACACCCTTCCTGGCTTAGGATTCAAAACCCACGCTATGCCTGAAAAACCAGATCGTCACTTCGTGATGCGGCCTCCCATGCCRTCCTACAGATACTTCTCAATTCCGGGGTACATCCTGGAAAGTTCTTCCTTCCAGGGACTCCCGGAAAATTTGGCAAACTTTGCCAAAGCAGCGAGAGAGACCTCCGGGGGGTATCCCCGAAGGCGTGCTTCTATCATACTGGCTGTCACCGTTGCCATTGTAGCTTCAACCGACGTAGACGCTCGTAATGCCCTAACCATGCTTGCAAAAAGTGTCGCCTTTTTCACTGATTTCTTCGAGTACGAATCAAAATCTTGCATGGAATGGACCCTGATACTGCCTGATTCCGCCAGATGTTGCTGATTTCTTGTCCGAGGGAGAACGTGAATCTGGATTGGTGCATACTCGACCATTAACCGACTACCCAGAAATTCGAAGGCATTCGTGCCCTCGTCCTTCCTCACCAACTTGAGGCTTCTATCATAGCAGTCTTCGAAACTCGCGAAGATCTGCTTAGTCTTACATCGTGAACCATGGTCAGTCAGATCGCAACCCACGAATACAGCGATGTCGTCTACCATCATCATTCCTCTTATCAACTCTCTGTCTCTCCCTAGAGATTCCATAAACACAGCTTCAGACCTCGCGCACACTACGCATGCGAGGGCCGGGCTGGAATTCCTCCCCATAGGAATTCCAAGCAGCTGTTTCAGAGTCTCCCCAGCACTCTTCACGAAGGTGTTATCCAGTTCAAACCTCACGCCTTCTTTTATCAGAGCAAAGTCAAGGAGAACAAACCCTTCACTCTTCCTCGTATTTTTTGCCATCATGCATAACTTACCCCTCTTGCTCACCCTCACCCCTACGAACTTTCGATGCTGATGCCTCGCGATCACCCATGATACTGCATCCATTACGCTCTCATGTGCCAACCTCGCAAACATATCCTTGACGTCGTAGCTTCTTGCTACCATTCCGACCGCTACCTTCTTCATCTCCTCACGGATCCCTTCACACCGTCGTCGCATATCATCGGTGGCACGCAGATCGAAGTACTCCACATTTCTGGTACTCGACAGCATGTACCTTACTGCACGCCCCAGCCTTGCTCCTGCCAATCGGGCAGGATCCTTAGACGCCGGAGAGATGGGTCTCCATCTGTCCAGATCTTTGTCTTTCGGCATAACGTACGCTTGGCCGATCTCACCTCCATTTGCCCACCCAGCTATCCTGGTCATCCCTTTCTCCACGTATCGCCGCTTCATCTCTTCTATAATCTCGGCCTCAGGCTTCTGAACCGGCAAAAAGCTCAGATTCCAGTTGAAGCTCAATTTGCATGCGTGCATGTACAGCACCGGGCATATCAGTAGTGTAGCTCCGGGATTCCTATCGAACGGGACTTTTAACAGATTCTCAAACGTTCTGCTCCACATCCTTACTTCGTCACTTTTCATTGCGCGCATACTCTCCACCCTCCGTCTCACGATACATCTACTTAGATCCTCGTCCCTCACACCGATTCTCCTCCCTTTGCTCCACGGCCTCAGTGCTTGGAGTATGCTTGCCCGAATAGTCTCTCCGGACACCTCGTCACCGCTTGTCACATTCCTAGAGTTCTTCAGAAACGCCGGAACACACGTTACATCATCCATTCTCACCTTCACGTGCCCCTGCACTCTGGGTAACTCCAACTCGACGCACGTGCATGTTACTTCTCTCGCGCTTGCGCAGATACACTGACTGTGTATCACCTGTCCAACCGTCGCTTTCTTTTTAAAGACCACCCGGATTCTCTTCGCAACATACTTCTGCAGATGAGGATCTCCGATCGTTTGCTCCAATACTCCTGCGGTCACCTCCCTGACCTCCCTGGTGCTCACCATAGGTGAGAATGGTAATTTGACAATTGGCCTTCTTCTTACCTCCGTGCCGTAGATGGCCGTTATCACCCTGGTTAACTTGATCTTCAGTTGATTCTTGGTGGCCTTCCTCGAAAACGTGCTCGCCGTGCGGTATAAGGCTATCAGTTCCTTCGACCGCTTCTTGTATTACTCCCTGGTCCTCCACGGCCATCTGAGTACGTCCCGCAGTACGTTCCGCCTATGCTCTATTGATGATGCAGTCACCTTGATTCGCACCGCGGTGAATGCTACCCCTTTCTCTATTTCCCGTTTACTTTCCTTCAACATCCGGATACTCCCATGGATCCTAATCGTAGTCTCCCCAACTTTCCCTCTCACTACCTTCCATCGGTCTGCCCATATCTCCCCTTTAGATGAGATAATTGGTAACTGCCTCCCTCTTCCATTGTTTGCTTTTAATAGGTCCACGATCGATGCACATCCGTTGAATGTGATCACCGTACCCTTCCTGGCTTGCGTGCGTCTCTTCCCTCTCTCCCTTTTTCCTCTCCGCTTTCTGCCCCTCCTCTCTTCATCCCTTCGCCCTTGCGTATTCAAGGCAGGAGAAAACCTCCTTATCAACAACCTCTCCACTACCAGAGAATCCTTAATACGACATACCAGCAGTAATACAAGATACTTCTCCCAGCCGAACAACCTCATCCACGCGTGTAACTTCGGTGCATTGCCCAGTCTTCCTGTCGAGGCGAACCTGATGTGCTCGGTCCATCTTAAAAAGAACGATCTCGAAGTGCACCCAATATATGAATGCCTACACCATGGACTTACTAGGACATACACACCCGAGCCCTTCGTAGTTAGATCACCCTCCCCTTCACCAACCATACTTATCCATTTCGCCGCCCATGGACATTGTTCTCTAATCACGACGAGGAGGAACTTTTGCATTATCATATCCTCCTTCTCGGCTTTCAGTAATCTCATGTCCCTACTTACCTCTCTCCCCTGCTCAAGCATCATCCTACGAAGCGCCGTAAGGTCCTCCATATCGCCTGTACTACTTACCTGATAGCGGGGACATTTGCGATGATTCGGTCATCTCTCCATACACGAGTCTCGTTCTGCACCTCACCAATTCACTCACGGCAGCTTCCTTTCTCGTCCATTCTATACCCTCTTCATTGCACATCTTCCGTCGATCGGGTGCCTTCTTTGCAGAAAGCTTCCGATGCATCTCAATCACGAACTCTAACACTTCGTCATATGCTGCATTGTTGCTGGCCTTCCTCCCCTTGGCTATCGGAGTTCGAACATCGTCGTCTGGAATATCTTCCACCACAATCGGTGCTGCTCGAGTGGCGTTCGTCCGTATCGCCGCCGTTCTCCTCTCGCCCTCGACCATCTTACGCTTCCCTTTCCTCCTCTCGATAGCATCTACAAGTCTCCCCGCTTCCTCCCTCACTTTGTCACTTTCGTCCTCTGATTCGTCTAGATAGCTTGTTATTTCTCTCAACATGCGCGCTTTCGACTTGGGGGATTTCTTCTTCACTCCCTGGGCTGCCGCCGGATTAACCGTTTTCGCGTGCGCGCTCATCAGCCTTACGAGCCTTGCCTCCAGTCTCGCCTCCCTGGCCTCCGCCTCCCTAATCGTATCGGCTTCCTTCCTCTCTTCCTCCTCCCTTCGTTTCCTCAACTCGACTTCTTTCTCCCTCCTTTCCTCTTCCATTTTCTGTTTCTGCACCTTTTTTCTAAAATATTCCTTCATCTCACTTATTTCGTCATCCGCCGGAACCGATTGATGTTGCTGCGTATGGGGTCGCCCATTCCCGGCAGCCCAACAGTTCCTTGCGTAATGGCCGCTCTTCCCACATAGATAACACGTTACGACTCCGGTCGGGTTTACCGTTGCATTCAACGTGGGCAGTCCCGCACCGTACATCGGGGGCTGTGGAGCCCCTAAATTCTGCTGATGGTGAGCCATCCTATCTCCTTCTTCTACCCTGCCTCTTCCTCCTATATCTCTGATCCCTTACTAGACAGCCTACACTATGCACCCGACCCAAAACTTACTCAAGTTCTCCAATTAGCTCCTCCCTCGTCTCTAGATCGTCAAACTGTAAAGCCACGAAGATCAATGGTGTCAGATCTTCCTCAATAATTTTCTGCAGTTCCACCCACTGACGTTCTAGTTCTAACTCTCTAAAATTCCTATTCGACATTCCTCCTCGTACTAACTGCTTCCAGAGTTCTCCACGTGATAGACACTTGTACCACAAAGTTCCACCCTCTTCTCCCTCCGTTACTCGTCACTCCTCGAATCAACGCACATCCGCTAAGTACAATCGCTCCTACCCATCCCACACATACCAGCCTCTTCAAACCACCTCTGCTCATCCTTCATACGTACAGCCCGGTCTTCACAGACGATCACGCTCGAAGCCGCTGCCAATCCCGATGATGATGATGCTGACGATGCTGACGTTGATGTTGATAACGATGTTGTAGTGCTGCACATACGTAGCCACCGATCTTCTGTCATGATATGACGGTTACCACGCTCTTAGAGATTCAAACACAGAGTGAGATGAATATGAAGATTAAGATGAAAACACTTCTCAAAATCATACGTTTCCGCTCTCTCATACGCGTTGCCCCGACGCGTTTCGCTGCTGGCGTATAACAGCAGACTCTTCAGGGGGGTTTTCTGAGTAAGTGTAGGGAACTCTCCTTATATATCCGATGAACCCCTTTTCCGGTACCGTGCCTACCACTTAGATCCTACTGGAAGCTCCCCACTCTAAGTCCTAAGTCTACTACTTTGTCCTCCTATACTCACCTGTTCCTAACTAGACTGCCGCGTGCCAACCCACCTACTCTCTAATCAGATCCGTCTCATTAAATGTACTCTCCTCCCC